CACGGGTGACGTCATAAGCTGTCTTTCCAAGGTGTGGGAACAAAGCTGGCTTAAGAAGAAAGACATAGATGTAAATTGCCAAATTGGAGATGGTAAATGGAGATCAAAGCGGCAAGTGTTCGGTGGAAAAACCGAGCAAAATCCGAATGCCTCTGAATATTTAGAAGTAACAGGAAAAAAGCAATCAAATCATAACAAAAACAAACATTCTGGGCTTAGTACAGTAAAGTCTGATAGAATAATAGTGGAAAAACTGGTTCGTGAGTCATTACAGAAACTTGAAAAGTCATCTGCACATAAAAATAAACAAAGAGTATATCAAATAATAAACTATTCTAGTAAAAAATCGTCGGGGCCGACATCGATATATTTCGACGTGGGTTACACGACATGCTTAAAGTTCGAATTAGTGAATGATATAACACAGTGTAAGTTCTTAAATGATTCATCTTTACGTCATTGCGTATCACATGTTTGGGAAAGGCCATGGTTAAGAGACGGCAAAGATATTGAGGTGAGTTGTGAAGAGCGATCGATAGAAGAAATGAATTCTGAAAACGCAATGCTGATAGCTGCTACAGCATTAAAACATATCGAAGCCAAATACTCGCACCCTCGTCGACAAAAAGTTGTGAAGCTAATCTCGTTTGGAAAACAACTAATCGCGGGTGTCCATTACAGAATGACAATTGAAGTAGGCCCGACTAATTGTATTGTCCTAAGTTCTAAGCAAAATTGTACGTTGGTCGACGATATGGGACCGAATAAGATTTGTCATGTAAATGTTTGGCCCCGACCGTCCGTTGCGCGATTCTTAAATATCCGTGTTGTCTGCGATCATAAAACACGTAGCAACTTAACACTTCGAAATCAAGAGGCCCGCGTACTTTTTGACGACTTCCTTGATACCTACAAGCCGACGTATAATAGCAATGAGACTGAAAAGTTAAGAAGATTTGAAATATTTAGAAACAATGTAAAAATGATTCATGCATTGAATATGGGGGATGCAGGCACGGCTACTTATGGTGTTACTAAATTCGCTGACTTAACCCATGAAGAATTCAAGAGACAATTTTTGGGTTTAAAGCCAAGTCTGAGTAATCCGAATCAGATACCGATGACGAAAGCAGTTATACCAGAAGTGAATTTGCCCGATGCGTTTGATTGGAGGCAGCGCGGTGCCGTCACCCCGGTCAAGGATCAGGGCAGCTGTGGTAGTTGCTGGGCATTCAGCGTTACAGGTATACTGACATTTTAACCTAACCATAGTCAATTTAAATAAATCTTTAAAAAATTGTCAACCATTGACTACCCACTAACAATATGTAATTGTTGTTTTTACACCAACTTGAATACTTGTTACTTCACAATTGAATTATTTCCTGGCGTAGTACGGTCCCAACACCTTTTGTTAAAACATTAATTCATAATTAAAAATTTTTCGGTTGTTAATATTTGAGAAGTTTGGTTTATCCCAATTTAAATTACCCTTTAAGGGTAATACCTAAGTTTCTAGTAATAAAATATTATATAAGGGCCTGTTAATATTTCTTTTAGGTAACGTCGAAGGTCAATGGCAGATAAAGACTGGCAACCTTCTATCACTAAGCGAGCAAGAGCTAGTAGATTGCGATAAATTGGACGAAGGTTGCAATGGTGGTCTCATGGACAATGCTTACAGGTAGACATTATTTTACTTCTGATTTAGTAACTAAATTATTTCTCAGCAAGCCGTGCCCTCTTTCTGTGTACTATGACAATACTTTTACTTCTAATATTTAATTAAAAATGCTTGTATTATGAAGCGTTGGTGGCTCAGGGGTTAAGTCAGACTTGCAATCTACAGGTCCTGGGTTCGAATCACGCTATGTACTAATGTGTTTTTCGATTTACATATATACATTTATCCGACGATCTTACGTTGAAAGAAAACATTGTGATGCAACCTGCACATATTTACAAAGTAATACAAAGATATGTGAACGTCTACCCGTGCGGGGCCAGAATGGTTGACTATGACCTAGTCACCCCTAACTTAGGGTAGGCTCAGAGCCTCTCTGTGGGGACATACGAGTATAATGAGCTTATATTACAGTAGTTGTCAGTTTTCTTTCAAGGAATGATGGCATATTTAAAAATTAGTCACGGAATACCTTAAACATAAAATTCTGTTTGTATTTCCCTTAGCGTTCAAGATAATTGACATTAAATATGTTTTGCAATTTGCATAAACATAAAAATATGCATTATTTATGGTAAAGTAATGTATGTGTTAAATTCTTCAATTTACGAGTGTTTTTGTGAATTTCCATTGCAATAAGATTTGTTTACCAACATGTTGTCTCTGCATTTTTAAAGATAATAGAGTATTTGTATATGTTTTTCTATAGTGGGAACTTACGGTTTTGTTGGCCGTTTCAACGGTACAAACAATAGGAAAGGAACGGATTTTACCGTCGATAAATTAGTGTGAAATAAAACATTAGAGACATGTCAACTATTTATGTTTGCTTTGTTATTACCTTGAGCATCGTAAAATTTATTATTCTCTTAGATGAGTATAGAATATATTCAATGAGGTTTTATAATGTTCCTGTAAACTGAAATATCATAAAAACAAGTTAATTACGAAGGAAACGATACAGAAATGTGAATAATAAATATTACTAAACCATTTTCGATTTAAGTTAAATAAAATGCAATCATAAAATAAGCGAGAGTCATAGTCAAGTCCCGACGGACGATCTACATAAGCGAGAAATACGCATTAGACAAAAATTTACATGTGAGGAAAATATTGCGTTTCCTTGGACTATCGCTTGTCCAGGTTCGACTTTATAATACAATTGACTACAGGGTATAGATAATTATTCGATACTAGCTGTCGCCCGTAACTTCGTCCGTGCGTAATTAATAAATAATTTGTATCCTAAGTGTTTTTCCACACTATGTTGTATATGTATACCAAATATTATCACGATCTGTTCAGCTGTTCTAGAGTTATCTTGAAACAAACATCCATCCATGGCTATTTTTGGGGGAGGCTTGTGACGTTAAAGAGAGCGAGAGAGAGAAATCAAGCTCACGATTTATACATTGAATTCTTAATCATACAAATATATCCATAAAATTTCAGAGCTATTGAGCAAATGGGCGGACTAGAGTTGGAAGACGATTATCCTTACGCGGGCAAGGCTCATGATAGTTGCAGTTACAACAAGACATTGTCCCGAGTGACTATCAGCGGTGCGGTCAACATCAGCAACAACGAGACCGACATGGCCAAGTGGCTGGTCAAACATGGACCTATTTCTATAGGTAAGTTAACATCTTCCATGCTAAGATTTTTACATGTTAGGGAAACTTGCTAGATGAGTTGGTGGCATTGCAAGGGTTAAAAGTTTACTTAATTACTAAAATCAATATAAAAGAATGATTTTAAAAGAACAAATAGATTTTGCAAAATAGGCGAAAAGAAGATGCCGGAGGACTAATTTTAGTCCCCTTTTGCGCTCCATTTCTCTAATAAGGAAAGAATGGGACGGGAAAGTGGATTTGACGGAGGCTAGGAAGAGGATATATTTTTCTGTGTGTCCTTTTCTCCGTCCAGGTTGTTGATGTCTATAGGTAGCGGTCGCTTAGTTATTTCGGCGTATTCAGGTGGCCGCTAGCAATTTGCCACCTTATAATATAAAATTATGTCTTTTGTTCATTTGGCACGTGTTGCTTTTGTTGCTAGAGTTGTGTTTTGTTGTCAGGTATAAACGCGAATGCGATGCAGTTCTACATGGGCGGAGTGTCGCACCCGTGGCGCATGTTGTGCAGTCCTGACAACCTCGACCACGGTGTACTCATCGTTGGATATGGAGAATCTAGTAAGATAACACATTATTAGTTCTAATTTTATTTTTCTTTTTCGATTTTTTTTGTTTATACATAGCTGTCGCCAGTGACTCCTTCCGCTCGGAATAAAAAAAACTTAATTAGTATCCATGTGTTATTCCAGACGATGATGCTAAAGATCCATGCAGCTGATGTGGAGATATCTTTAAGCAAACATCCATCCATCCAAACAGTCGCAATTATAATTTTAGTAAGATTGTCCATAAAGAATTACGTTACCACATCAACCAAATTTGTTAACTAAACTTATGAAATTAAAAAAAAAACAATTCTTATAACACCGTTGCTTGGTTACGTACTAGTGAGCTTCACCTATTATGAAATCCATATTCTATGTCAGAAGACAAATTGCTTCTAAAGTATGTAAGTCGACTTAGCCCAGAGTTTGTGATAAATTTCTTAGTAAATGGAAGGTTTCCTTATATTTTGCTTAGGTATTATTTACTAAGTAGTCATTAGTTAGGATAGTGGTAGGTAGAAGTATATAGAAATTATGAGTTTAATTTAACCGATTTTTTTTTTAAATTTCTGTTGGAAAATTGTTTTCAGACTACCCTCTATTCCATAAGCGTCTGCCATATTGGATAGTAAAGAACTCATGGGGTCCTTCGTGGGGCGAGAACGGATACTACCGCGTATACCGCGGTGATGGCACCTGCGGCCTCAACATGATGGCCAGTAGTGCTATTGTGTGACCACCAGTGACCACCAATGACCACCAATGACCACCAATGACCACCAGTGACCACCAATGACCACCACCGACCAGAGGCATATGGTATATAGTTAAACAGATAAAAGAATTTATTAAAAAGTTTATGTATTTTAGTACGTTTAATTTGATTTTTTAATATTATTTATTATGCCTGATAAAAATTATATTCAAACCAGATATATAGAATTTATCTGACAAATGAAAAAAACATATCTATGTATATGCTGAAAAAAGAACACTTTGGTGATTTTTTTTTAATTTTTCAAAGAAGGCAATTTTGTTAAATAATAACGAATTGTTTAGGCTCTTTTCTAGTTGTACCTAGTCTCCAAAGATCTGCTTTTAATCTCCAATATAATATGAATAATTATTTACTATATTTACATTATGACTTATATAAATACACTTTTGATAAAATGTTATATAGTAAATAAAAATACTAATGAAATTAAATGACATTATTGAAAGAGATTTTTTTTGATATGAGATCAATATTATTATATATCATATTTTTATATTATATTTGAAAAAACTCAGCAATTTAATATAGTTTTTTTGATTTTTTTAAAACGTTACTAGTTTCATGAGTTGAATTTATATTTTTAATCCTTTGAGAAAGTACGGATAGTAAAAAAAAATATGTAATGGTGAAAATTAATATCATGATTTTTTTAAATAATTTAAATAATATACCAGTGTACGTATTTTAAATTATATTATAATTTATAAAGTATAAAATATCTATCCGTTTATAAAAAAAAATATATTTTGTATTTTTTTTTGTAGACGTTTGCTAAATTTTAATAACTTAACCTAGTCTATGTAGGTTTTACTATTTTTTTTTTTAATGAAAATATTAATAATTTTTTATTTAACTAACTTTTCGTCATTATATTAGTTATTTGAAATTATTTATAAGCAAAATGTTTTATGTGAATTTTTAATTATATATCAATAAAATTTTATATCAAAAATGTTGTGTTGTTTAACCCTTTATTTTTTCTTAAATTTTCTCAAAAAAAAAATCTGTCTTTTATCGGATTTTATTGACTAATTTGGTATTTAAAACCAACCAACGCATATGCAATAGCGTATGTCTATGGGCAGCGGTCACTTCGCTATTTCAGCGATATCAGGTGGCCGC